TGTGTATATTACACAAGGGGTTATGTATGATCATAACATACTTGCACTTTGTTTATTGCTCTTTTTATCTGTTGTGCCAGGAGTGCTCTGTTGACCAATGGGACCAGAAAATAAAAAGAACTGTCTGAAGAAGGCTTCTGATAAACTATTGTGTTCTATACATCACATGAGTATTTTCACTTCTTTGTACTGCCTCAGTTTAGTCCTTGTTTGGACCATTAATTTGTTGTTCACTGCCTCTTCATGTATAAATATTATAGCTCAAAACCAGTTTCAATGAACTTGCTGTTGTACAGCAGATCCCCTCCCTTGCCAAAGTGTTAGATTAATTACTTTGCTTTAATGGGCCCCACTACTGGGTACTAGTAATTAAAAGATAATGATTGGTCCCTTTGAATGTTACAAATAAAGATGCACGAACTCATTTGTGTTATTCAGGTTGTTCAATAAAAGATTAAGCTCAGTGTGGGGGAGTGGAAGCTGTGGTGGGGGTGTTGGAGCTACTTGCTATTTCAGCCAAATTATCCAAGCCTTCCTCTGTTGTCTTTGCTCTCAGGAATCCACATCTGATAAACTTTGGATTGTCACACTTGATAAGAATAATGAATGAACACTGCTGTTCATTGGCATTCATTTTCATGACCCGCTATGCTTTAAATAGCTGGAGGAAAATAAAAGTGAGGTCATTTGACTTTTATATTGGGCACTGTATCTCTTCCCTCTACTTTTTTTTATTGGAAGTTGACAGCTGTGTTTGGTCATGAAAATTAGTTCAGTTTCCCTCAGGAGGATTGTTAAAACTCCTCATGACCCTGCTTTAAATATGAAAGTGTGGCATATCACAGTGAAGCCACTACATGTTTTTTTCATTCATGTTTTATTTGCTTATAAATGAAAGCTGGCAGTTTGAGCTACACAACAACAATTGGCAGACTAAACATAAGGATCATATGGAGCATGTTTCTATACACAAAAAAGGTGTGGCATACTCTACTCCTTAAAGAAGTAACCAGAATGAATTTAAGGTGTTTGGATAGATGTTTTAATGCTATCACTTTATTCTTCTGTTATAATCTCTTATATACCTGGATGTTTTTTCTTTGAATTGAAAAGAAGACTTTTGTGTGAGGTCACATTTAGGGTTGTTTTTACATCAATACTGCAAAGTTGAAAATCCACCAATCCCGTGACAGCTCTTTGCAAGGTTGACATTTTCTATGCATGGTCTAAACTGATATACTGTAGTTTTGATGTGTAATGTTTTTTATAGACATATAGACCCTGCTTTGAAGGCATCATTTAGCTCAGTTCTCAGATTCTGCTCAGCTGCTCAGGGGAACCCTAGATGTTGAGGATCCATCCATCCATCCATCCTCTTCTGCTAATCAGGTTGCAGGAGGGCTGGAGCCTATCCCAGCTACCATAGGGTGAGAGGCAGGATACACTCTGGACAATGTACCATTCTAATGGAGGGCTAAGACAGAGAGATGGACAACCATTCACACTCACTTTCACACTCATGGGCAATCTAGAATCACCAGTTAACCTAACCCCACTTATTGTATGCCTCTGGATATTGGGAGAAAGCAGGAGTACTCAGTGTGGAGTTGGCATAAAGCAACAAAATACATAAAAATATATACATTTCCCACTGAGGCCCAAACTTCAAGACAGCCTCTTTGTGAAAGTTATGAAATCCCCCAAAGTCAAAGGCAACTGGGAAATCAGTTCAGTAAGCATACACTTAATTTGTGATTAGTCAACATGGCTCTCAACGTGTCTCAGGGGCTCATTTTATTTTGAATCAAACATCCCTGTCATTGTCTTGATTAACTAGAGGAGAAACTGTTTGTCAAGTAGCTGCTTTATGAAAAAAAGAAGAAGAAAAAATCGTGCTTAAGAATGGAACTTTCTATCTCAGTTTCACGGCCTTTGTTGCATTTACAAACCAGTTAGTATGATGAACTGTGCTTTGGTTGATACAGTGCATTTTCTTCCACTGCTCAGTCATTTATTGTCCAGCACAAAATATGGTGGCTAAATGAGACAGATTTAAGAGTATAGATGTAAAGGAAACATCTAAATGTGTTTTTACTCTATGTGGTCATATATTACTGTAGTATAAGAAATACTTTCTGCAATCCTTATGGGAAGCTTTAGGGTATGTATTTACTGGAAACAGACATGCCTGAGACTGGTACTGATTTAACTTTTGCACAAAAAAACAAAACAAAACAACTTTTTAATAACTGTGTGTGTGCTGGAGGGTGGGGGGGGGGCCTCATTTTTCCTCTGAGCAAGTCTAGCACATTAGCTCGACACTTTTTCCTTCAATTATATCTATATTTAGCCTGACTAAATCCAGATTTAATGCCAGAAGTCTTCTTTTGTCATCTAGAATGATAACTGAAGTTATATATCATGCATCAGCAGAACTATGTGGATTTCATTTGCGAGTTTTCCTCAAGTCCTAAAAGCAGCATATTTTTATTTTATTTTATTTTTACCATAAATGATAAATAGGTTAAAGGCATCAAATTTGACGTCAAGAAGTGCATCTGTTAAAGGAAATGACATTTGATTTTCATAATTCTTAATACAACACATATAATGCTCAGTACTTTAAACAGGAAATGTAATTTCTTGCCCACAGAGTTCATGTATTACTCCCACTAGCCAACTGCAACAAGCCACAGACAGATGGCTAGATTTGCCATTTGTGAGTAGTGTGCATTATGTGACTTTGAATTTTTGGTAATTGAACATCAGATTTTAAAAAAGAGACCAAAGGACTGCTCACGACTGATTGGGCAACGATCCACTATCAGGTGCCACAAAAATTGAGACGCAATGGAAGGACTCACAAACAAAACAAGTAATTAATGCCTGCACCTGAAAGGCACCGTGTTATACGTAGACTAGCACACTTGTACTTGCATCTCAGCAGGAGAAGAGACATGAGGCAATGGAAAAGCACTGCTGCGTTCAGTCCTTCTTCCCACTGTTTGTCATCACCGGACACACTGGGAGCGTGAAAGAAATGCTTCCCAGCCATATGACAGCATGTACCTCTGTGATGTCGAAATATGCTCATTAATTTTTTCGCGCTGTCATATCTGACCAAATAATTTTTTTCCTTTTATCTAAACTTGCATGTTTACAGCCAAAGTTAGGATCCTATTTTTACATGTTATTTATATTATTAATTTGTGAGTTCCATATTTTTGTGATGAATACAAATGTGCAGTAACACTGATTGGTTTCTTGAGTGAGTACCACTCAAAGCCAACAAGTGTTCCTTGTTTGCCTTTAAATATTCATTAATGCTCTTAAATTTACAACACCATGTGAAAGAACACACAGATAACTAAAAACTTCAGAAACTTTTAAGGGTTTCAGCTCTTTTTTAAAACAACATTCCAGCCAGTAGCTGAAGTGGTGAAAAAATACATGTGTATGAAACTAAATACTGAAGCAACCTGTTTATTTTTAAGTTCTTTATGAAATGTGTTTTTGCTGCTTCTACCTGGGTGTTTTTTTTTAAATGAATCAATGAAGAAGCATTAGTGAATGAACATATCATTTGAGACACTTGGAATAACCAAAGTTTACAAAAGAGAGTTCATATTCTACTTAACATTTAAAAGGAATGACTGAGCCCATCAACTGACCAGGAAAGTGTTTTAATAAGGTCAGCATTGATGCATTTTCCCATAGAGTTCTATAGGATAGGAAGCCTGTTTGCACACACTGGGGTTGCCTCCTGGTGGCCACTAAAAAGCATGCAGATATGAGGTTGATTTGGCTTCTCCTTTCAGACTAGTCTGAAAGGTGAAAGGTTAGCACGGGTTAGCACAAAAAGACAGATTTGTGCTTGGTCTATTTGTTTCTTTCTTGTAACAATGCTTCTTGGCAATAAATCTTATACCCTTGCAAAGCCTTTTTATGTCCTCTTACTTTTCTCTAGATTTTTCGTGTTTTCTCCTCTCGGCATGAAGCCCCGAAAAAGAAATGAAGTTCCTCTGATGACCACTTGAGGCTGTCTCTAAAAGCGAGTCAGTCTCAGCAGATTCATGTGTTAAAATTCTCAGTTTTTGAAAGCGTACTTTTACAGACTAGTAAAAAAAAAATTGGGCGTCTTAATTATTATTTTATTTTTTCAAATAAAAATACATCGTGACGTGGCAACTTTCCTTACATCTGCTGTTGAAGCCAGTCTTGTCTGATACGGCTCACCTCGCTAGTTTGACTTTTGTGGCGTTTTTGGAGGATTTTAATGAAATCGTCTGACATTAAGCCTACGTTCACACTGCAGGCGAAAGCGCATCAAATCCGACTTTTTTGACCCTATGCGACCCATATCCGATCATGGTATGACAGTGTGAACGGCACAAATCCGATATTTTCAAATCCGATTAATTCACTTTCGTATGTGGTACTGAATCCGATACATATCCGATGTTTCAGAAAGCGACTGCTGTTTGAACGGTCATGTCGCATTAAATCCGTCTTTTACGTCACTGAGACAAGACGCCAATTATCAGCGCCGGAGAAGACATCGTGAACGCCTCCTGGCCATCCAGTGTAGATGTCAGTGAAACTGTTGGGAAGACAACGTGAACATTTTATTTGTACTGTATAATCTGCAGATTCTGACAGAAATATGCAACTATCCTTTGAAGCACCGCTCCTCTAAAACAGCAATAAGGATAATTATTAGGTTATTTACATTATTATGTAAATAACAAAATAACTTAAAACAAAAACTGGGAAACGTAAAGTCCGAAGTCTTTATATTAAGGGCCATCAGTCAAACAATACTGTTTGCTCTGGGTCTAAACAGAGCGCGTTGTGTGTGACGTCTTCTTTTGCGCATGCGGGCCGCTTTAAGCGTTTAGACTAGAGCACGTTTGCTGTCGCATTTTATTTGTAGTGTGAACAAGCAGACAAAAAAATCGGATTTGATCAAAAAATCGGAATTGAGCATTAAGACCTGCAGTGTGAACGTAGCCTGGCTTTCTGTATGTTACAGCCTGACGAAGAAGCGAGAGGTGAGCTTTCAGCTGTCTAATTATGTATCTCGGTGCACCTGTGCATCTATCGCTGCAGCTTGCTAACCAAATTAGCTAGCACGCACGAGCAGCACCCTGTAAAATATAATTAATCCTAGCTAAAAAGAGAACTAGATTATTAAATTAATAAAGTAAACACTAAAATTATACTTAGCTAGCATTAGTGTATTGAAGAGCTTTTTTGTATATCACTTGCCAGTAGATGATGGTCCAGAATGACGCCAGAGGTCAAAAACAGTAAACTAACCCATAAAAGGGACACTTGTCAATTTTTTTTCTTTTTGTTTGTATTTGAAACCATTTAAGACAGTGTTCTTGCAACTTTTTGGTTAAGTAAAATCCATATTCTTCTACATTATTTTTGAATTTTTGTAAACAGGAAATGCGCACAGGATGTGGGATCTCATTCTGTAAGACTTTTCTGAGGTTTGGTTCAGTCTGGTCAGGTAGGCACTTATTTCTTGCATCTTTCTGTGAATATTGTGTCTGAGAAATTGATTGATTTTCTGACACTATTGTGTATATTTTGTACCACGATAACCATATCTGTTGTAATGTGTGCATCAATCAGACTCGTGATGGATGGTAGACAAACACATTTTTGAAAGATCCTGTTTTTAGTGTGACAGATACAAGATTGCCAACCATTAGCCAAGATGGGATATTGCCATTGTACTTTTAATTCAAAGTCTTCTGAGATTTAAAAAAAAAAGTGTTAGAAAAGTGGTTTTGAAAACACTGAACAGGTAATTGCAGATAGCACTCTCAAGTGCCTCCATAAATGGCTTTTGATTTCAACTCCAGGCAAACAGGAGCTTTCCATTAACAGCATTTGGCAAATCAACATCTTGAGGTATAATTATAAACATGTTTCCAAGAGAAAATGCTGTAATGGTGGCTAGACAGCATGTGTTGATAATTACATTGTGGATAATGGACAGAGGATAGTAGCACATTGCAGGCGGTGCTGGACCCAATGGGCCATGATAATTAACCAAAATCTTAATGACATCGGGAAAAATGATTCCTCCCCAGCTCGTATATGATAAATGTTTAATGTTTCATTACAATAATGATGGGAATGCAAAATGCCAAACCACTGAATGTCAAACTTTTGTCACTGTTGTCTTGTAATTAGAGAAAGCTCCAACTGTCTTAACAATTTCCCAGAGCAGCCTCAGCCAGCATTTAGCGCACTCATGAATACGTGGTGACAGGGAAGGGAATTGTATGGAGAGCATAGCCAGTTGCAGAGTCTAACAGTAATTTAGCGTTTGTGTCCACTGTGTGAATCTTAATCCTTTTGACAATTAAACAGTTAAAAATAATAGATCTTTTTACAGCATGCTCTCCTTTGTGTATATATGTTTCTTGTCATCTGCAACTTAGTCTGCTGGAAAGATAGAACTTTGTCTATTGTAGTATATTGTAGAAGTGACAAAGTGAACCACAGTTGTTTTGTAGAAATGCATTAGTCAGGTTATTTTGACCATCCCGCCTCTCTGTAAGATTGCTCTACACAGTCGAGAAATCCCTGTTCAATTTCCGAGCTGGCTGTTTTAACCCACATAGACTCCAGTGGGAGATGTGATCAATACACTGTACTTGACTATCATTATCAAGACTTATATCTCCTTCAGTTCAGGGCTCATTAAATCAGAGGACCACATTTTTCTGCCCGGTGTCTCACCAAGGCTCTTGAGTCACATTAAGGTCTGATTTACACGTCTTTAATGATGGGCCACTCTTAATTAGCTGGTGGCACAAAAACGCAGCCGCTTCTGAAAAGGATGACCATCTAAGGCTCTGGAAGATGTTTGCTTCAGGCCACACTCAATCTGTCATCCGTATCAAATCGTGCTCACTTTGCAAAAACAGCTTCCACTGGTGACTGTGGCCATACCTCATATGTTGAGAGATGCCAGAGGCAATAATGAATCCTTGCTGAGATTCCTCCTTCCCTTGCATCAATTCAGAGTGCCAGTTATGCAAGGCTTTTGGTCTGCAGCAAGGTCTCTAACTTCTCTTTCCTGAAGTATCTGCTGTCAAACAGAGGACACTGATGAGTTCTTCGCTCCTTGTTTTGGTCACAATCCATTGGCTCCAGCCTGAGAGGCTTTCTATATCATTAGCAAAAAAATAATTTAGTTAGTTTAATGGAGTGACTTAGACTAACAAGTTGTTGCAACAAGAGTACCCTGAAGTGACTTGAGATATATTACCACAGTAGTAGTGGTTGCTCATTAGCTCCTTGCAGTGTTATTGCAGTTTGGCTCATGAGAAACCTGCATAATATTCATGCACGGCTGTAAAAGAGAGACGGCTGATAAATTGCATAATAACCAGATTAGCAATATGTCACACTAAGCCTCTGGCAAACAGCAAGGGAATTGGGAAGATTCTACCCTTCCTGTGAGATGAGAAAGATATAAATAGAAACCTTGAAGCACAATTTGTCAAGTTACATGAGCAGAAATGCATTCCCCTTTCTGCACCACCCAAAATATGTACGCACCCTTTGAAGCAGATTTCATCAAGTCGTAATGAAAATGTTGATGTATCTGTGAAAGCATTGACAAATATCTTGTTAAAGGTCACATTCATTTCATAACCTTTATTTTGTGATCCTTGGCACATTGGGTGACTTGAAACAATCTTTTATAAGATGAAATAAACTCTGGTCATTGTAGTGTGATAATGTGTTCCATTAGGCCAAATTATCTGTGGCTGTTCAAAATGATAATTCTGCCTGTTTGGAAGCCTAGAAGTGGAATTGTATTGTGCAATTTAGTCAAGGTTGATGGCCAGGCACTTTGTTCCCAATGAAGTTCCAATTGTCACAGAATCTGATGTAAGGCTTCCAAAATGACTTTGTCTTTTTTTTTAATCTAAGAAGGGAGTACACGAATAAAAGAACATTTCACTCTTTGAAACGCTTCATTCTCCAAAACACAATGAAAACAGTACATTGCAAAGCGACTAGAGCAATTCTGAAGCACTGTGGAAAAAGGGCAGATGGCAGTCTGTAACTGTAGATCTAGTCTCTGTTTGCTTTGTAGTCTCTTTATGAAGCTCATTTATTAAATGAGCTTCATTCATTCTTTTAAAGACCAAGTTAGACCTTCCCTTCCTTTACATTTCACCCTCACAAACTTGGCCACAACACTTTTCTCCCACTTTTTAATTATATGTAGCTGTTTTCTGGTGCACCATCAGACTCTGCAATTCACCTGTTTACTTTCTGTCATAGTACTATTAAATATTTGCGGGTCCTCTCCCTAGTGGAAGTGGTTTTTAGAAGGCAACAAATGAAAAACGTGTGTGTTCCAGTGACGTTGTGAACAAGTCAAGCCATGAATTTAGAACAGGATATGGGCTCGAGGGTAGCTGTTTGGAAAGTAATTACATCAAAGGCTGTTGAGGGAATATTTGCGACACAAAAATTGCTGCTGATGATAAGCAGGGCCCCACAAGGCAGTAGTTATGGACTCCTTGTGGCCAGTGCACTGTTGTGCTTTCTCTTACAAAATAATAATTTATCTTACCTGTCTATAGTTACTATACTGAGGAGTGAAACTGTTGGGCTGCTTCTTGTGCCTCTGAATGACTACATGCTACTATCCAAGGTACCCAGATGCATAAATTTGTCTGTGTGGGTTGTGAGGGTTTTTATTTATTTATTTTTTTAAGAATGGCAGCACTGATATATTATACAGTGTATGTGTTACATATGTTTCTTCATATCATCTGGCAGAACAAAAGGCAGAAAAGATTGTTGGGCTAAATGAAAAATGTTGTCAATGTTTTAAGAGCACTGTTGTTCTGATTCTGGTGTTATACCCTTAGCACTATCTGCTTTATGTTCCAGTTTGCATCATTGTAGCTGGTGGTGGAGAGCCATGCGGTGTCTAAATTGTATGTAAGTTGGACACTGAAATGATAAAAAAACAACCAATTAATGAATAAATATATATCAGATTTTTTTTCAAACTCCTTAAAAATGGCTTTTGGCCATGAAAATCCAGTATCACTGATTATTTTAATCAGGATTTTGTTCTTATCTTTGAATAAAACTCTAATGTTCTGCTTGATTACTATCTCAGGAGATTTCTGGATTCTTATTCCTCACTTAATGTTATTGTTGTCAGTTGAGATGATGTAAGCTGTATGATGTTGTTGCGTCCTCCTCGTCGATGTTGCTGTATTACTGGATTAGTTGTTAGACGTTCATGACCTCTTTCTGTACATTTACTGACTGGGTTTCGCCTTTAATAGTTGAGGTGTGTGTGTGTGTCTGCTTCTGTAATGTGCAGTAACACCCCCCAAGCATTAGAGCTTGTCAGACGGTGCTGACCTACATAGTCACTGTTGAGTCATGGATGCAGAGGTTGGTTTTGACAACCTTGCATAGTTTTGGTTGGCAAGAAATTGTTGCCCATTCTGGGTGGCCGTCAGTGTGCTGTGTAAGGGAGTAATGAAATCTGTTAAACTTGTTACAGAGGCAGTCAGAAATTACATCATCATCATTTCCATCATCCTTTGTTTGCCCACACATATTATATAAGCCATTATGAGTTCAGACAGAACAGAGTTAGCAGTGAGTGATGACAATCAAAAGATTTTAGCTAAGACAAACAACTGTTCATTTAGTATGCAAGTTATATTTATTATATTGCAATCGTTTGCAATTCCACTGCACCCCTTCAAGTTTCAATGATAGGAAATATAATATTCTCTGTTGTTTGGTGGGCTATAGGAAGTCCTAAAGCACAAACACTGCAAAACTATAATATAAATGACCATCACTGCAAATATTTCCTTTTATTTATAAACTCTATAGGCAACGTTGAGTAGTAGCATATCTGCAATATTGTTATCTGTGAGTACAAGACATTGTTCTCTTGATCGTACTTGGGTAATTATAACTGAGTGAAATAATGCCAGTGTTGCAAATTCTTTAAAATTGAAATAGAGTCAGGCAAAGAATTTACAGTACATGGTTCCAGAAACTGAAAAACATCTGGCATAAACTCATTTGCAAAATTTAAAATGTGATTTTCATTAACCAGAGAATATGTCTGGAATTTTGTTTCAGGGAAATTGGTGTGAGAGCTTAAAGGGGGCTCAGTGTGCATTGATCCTTTACGTTATCTGAGAGACTGTGATTTTGGAGTACAAACTACCTAGAATAGCCCAACAGTTTGATGTACAGCACAGTACAGGAGGTCATCTTGTTATTCTACCAGAACTTGTTGCAGAGTTGAAAGTTTTAATTGAGGCTACTTTCTTTGTGAGTTGAGATTGGAAAACTTGAAGCACAAACCTCAAATTAGACCGTGCAGATGGATCACATATATTATTCCTGCTTTAACCAACTTAAATGAACGACCCCTAATACATCTCCTGGGAAATGGCGAAGAACAGATTATCAGTATCCCTGCCTGGG